GTCTGTACTGTCTACCTAGAATGTACCAATAAATTCAGTTTTAAAAAAAGTATGAGTGGAAGGCTGTTATTAAATTATCAAAATCTACCTTGAAGATTGAGTTTACCAAACTGGACAAGTTGAAGAGTCTCCAGGTGTCCAGTCTCTGCTCCCACCCTCTGCACTCCTGTCCCCCGTTCCACTTCTTTTAGGTCACTGTGATGTCCATCTGTATCCGTCCTGTGCTGCTGCCCACTCGTCCCAAGCACCCTCCTCTGTCCTGTAGGCTGCCTCTTGGCTTCCCGACTACTTCTGCCTTTCCCTGCCAGCCACAAAGCCATCAAACAGGCAGCACACCAGAAACAAGGGTCTGGGTGACCCAGGAGCCCACTGAGTTTTCTACACAGGATTTTGGCCACATTCTACTTCCCAACCAGGCCTCAACCACAGAAATCCCAATTCCTGAGATGCACCCTGTGGAGATTCCCAGTGTGGGTCAAGGCTGTAGTGTTTTGTTTGTTTCAGTGCTGGACCTTGCAGCCCTCCTGCGTGGGCTTCCCAGAGTGCTGGAATTACAGGCATGCACCATCATGCCCTAGGTTAAATTTGAGGCTTTAAGAAGGATGATGATCACATATTTGTTTTTTTAAATGGTGGTGAATATAAAATCACACACCCCCCATGCTAGCACAGGGAGGTATGGTGATATTGACATTATTTTTTACGCCTTTGCTTAGACTAATTTAACATGAAGATAAACTCAAACGTAAGTCATTGTGATTATGATTGAAAAAGGGTACAGCTCCTTGGACTAAACCACAGGTAGGCACTTAGCTTCATTCACCTGATATGCAGCTTAATCATAGCGCCTGCCTAGTAGCTGCTTACCTACCTGGACTTGCACAGGAAGATGCCTGAGTACATCCTCAGCAGTGTCGCTGGAAAGAGTCCGAGATGGTCCCCGTGGTAGAGATGGGGAGCCTGACTCACCCTACCTACAGGGTAGGTTTCAGGTTCTCTGACTCCCATCACAGAAGAAGAATTTGCAGGATGTGTCAGTTAGGAGGCACACAAGGGGATTGGCCAGGCAGGACTTTTTAAATGCACACTCAGAGAAGCAGGATGTGAACCCTTCAAAAGGGAGAGGATACTTAATACCTTGAGCTGGGTATATGTATGGGGGAGTTAGAGGCAGAAAGCTGTAGAATTTGTGAATCCGGAAAGAGGGGATTTGATGTCCAGACTGACAGCTCTTTCTGCAGGGGAAGGGTGCAGGCCCACTCATGGGTGACAGAGCTGTAGCCAGTCCGTAAAGGAAAGGCCCCTTCTACGGGTGAAAAGGGTTATTGTGTCTTTACAGACATTAAGAGTATTTGCTTGGGTTTGTTCCCGAACCTGCAGTTCTTATCAAGAGTACAATTTAAAAATTATGATTTTTCGTGTCTCCTTTCCACGTGTCTTACGTTTCCTGTCCCACCTCTGCAGGGACAAGGGCTGTAGGAGACTGACATGACAGGAGAAAGCAGTGTTGAGACTATCTCCAAAGGAAATGTTGACTCTGGGTAAGAATACTGATTCTGACAAATTGTGAAATCCCAATTTCAGTCATCGTACTAGTGAGGCCTGGGAAGTGAAAAATAGTGAGCTGTTAAGAAGGTTGGTACAACCTGTTTTGTGTTTATGTATTGTGTAACAGTGCGCACCGGGGTTTTATTGAAACCAGCGTGAGGTGAGGTAAATGTCAGGCTGACTTTGTATGACCGTCTCACTGTCTGAACTTCCTGCTGAAAAGCTTTCAGGGCCTATAACCGATATGTAAATGGGGCTGGAAATAACCTGCCAAGACCAAGGGAAGCTCGATCGTGTTTCCAGCATCTGTTGCCTGCTGCCGCCGTTTCCTGGGTACTTATCTGTCTCCCTGATGCAGCCCTGAGTGTCCTGCCAGCAGGCACCAGCCCGGTAAACATTTGTTGAAAGAGGAGATTGGGTTTTTCATTTGTTTGCTATCCAGTTAACTCTTAGTCACTCTCCTTGAAAAGGCTGTCTTCTGTTTATTTATTAAAAAACAAAACTTGACTTTCATATTGTTGTGACTTGCTGTACAGCTTCATTGATGGAAGTTACTGAAAGGCTGTAGGGACGTAATTCCACTTCCCACCCACATCCTGGGTCACGGTTTGGATTCTGTGAAATTTTTGTGCATTGCTGACAAGACCTCGGATGTAAGGGCCACAGGCAGAAAAAGAAAAAAAAAAATCTCCACTGCTAGGAATTAACTTGCCTGAGCCTGTGGCACCTTTCAATAAACAAAAACCTAAAATGACATGGATCCATGGGCGGAATTCACTTCCTTTTTGAAATAATACACAATTCGTCCCACGTGAATCAACATGCGCAAGCACCCGGGGCAAAACGTTAAACCTAGGGCTGCAGGGCAAGAACGGATGTTCCCTGCCTTAGAGGAGCTTGGCGTGGTGGCTGGATAACTGAGACATTCGGGAGAAAAGTCAGAGGCTCAAAGGCATCGAAGGATCAGGAGCCTGCTGAGCTCTAAAGTCAGCAGCAGGAAGGAGGAGACAGGATGGTACCAAAGGCTTCGAGGAGGACGCACCCCGGCTAGAACCATCGGGTAGAACTGGCGCTGAAGACAAGAGCGAATGTAAGGAATGACATGGGAACTGTCTAGGATGAGGCAGTTCCAACTTAAGCACAGTTGTGTGCTTCGCAATAAAAATGCTGGGCCGGATGCAGAGAGACACACTATCGTCTTTCAGCACTAAGCTAGAGTCCCCGGATCAACCACCCACCACTTTGTCCCCTGCCTGACAAAAGTGCTTAACAGAGAAGAGCCGAGGTCAGAGTGCAGCTCCACCCCAGCCCACACTGGGCTTCTTGTGCTCTTCAGGGCTGCTCTGCTTGTGCCCAGGGCAAGGGACGCTTCGTGTCTGCCAGGCTCTTCATCGGGACCACTTCCAAACAGAGGGGCACCTTCCCTGAGTGCTTCTGAGCCAGCCCAGACCTTCCTACGCGGGACAGCTGAGGCTCTACCTCTGAATCGAATCTTCACCCTGCCTAGAATTTGGTGAATGTTTCATTAAATTGGGGGACGGATTATTAAAGTTCCACACACAATTATTCTCCCTACTTAAATGAGTTTCTCAAATGGATTTATGCCCAGTCCTTTTGAAACATAGGAGCGACTGTTTGTCTTCAGGGGTAGAGAGAAAAGACAAAGATATAGTCTAAGGCCACTTAACTGTTCTAAAACACTTTGAGTTCATAAATTAAATTGCTATGATTCATAAATGCTATGATTAAAGTTTAATAATTTTGTTAAACCAAAGCAATGTTCTTATAATAATATTTCAAGGTCTTCCATGTACCTTTTGTCACATAATGCAGGGCAGCTATGGACTAAGCCCTTTTAATATACTTAACCCTATCTGAAGTAGGTCAGGCCTCTGTCTTCTGATATCTGCCTGCCTAGGGCAGGAGAAATGCTAGCCACCAAATGAGAACGCTGCGAACACCAAACTTGCTCAGGGGTTGTTATGCATCGGGCATCTTTGTCAGGCGTGCTTGGTCTCGATTTTGACACGAGGGTAAGACTAGTAGTGAGGTCCGCAGTATTCATATGCTATGGAAAGTGGTAAGTAAGCAACCATAAAAAAACCTACATGACGGGAACATTTAGAGGTGGCTGTGTAGTCACATGCAGGCGAAAAGACCACATAGGTCTTAAATTGGGGTTAAAATTATCAAACGTGAGAGAGCAGTACCGTCTGATTTTGTCGTATTTTATGCTTAGCTACTAATGAATTCTTGCATCCGCTGCACAGAATGGCATCCAAAAACATCCGATCCATGAGTTGCACCTTCTCTTCTCCCTTCAGCATTCCTTTCCTTTTGCTTTCCGTGCTGGAAACTGTCCCCGGATGGTCCTCAAAGTATTGACAGAAGGAGCTTACGTCTGCGTCTACCATGGTGGTGGTCATTCATTTATGCGTGGTTCGATGCGCAAACGCTTTTGATTTGTCTTCCCCTCACCTCCCCTCCACTGTCTTTCTTACCCAGGTCAGCCTGCTTTTCCAAAGTGTATCGATCATGACCGCTGCCACCGCTACTCTAGACAGTGGTGTAGTGTAAAGATGCTTACGATCCTTACCCCACCGAGAGCTGTCACAGAGGAGCTAAGAAATGGAGGACTAAGTGGATGAGAAGAGGGATGGGTGGATGGGGTGGGGGAGAGCGTCTGACTCTGAGAGGTCGTATAAAGGAACGCCGTACCGACGGACAGAACCGAGTTTCAATACCGACCATAACAGATGCTAGCTGTGTGAACTGGGGTAAGATGTTCAGTGAGAGCCTTAGGTCTTTTCATCTGTAAAATGAAAGGAATGAGCCCTACGTAGCCTGCACAGTTGTAAAGCTTAGAAACTAAATTGCTTAGCAAAATGTGTGGTTAAAGCAACAACGCAAAGTGGGACTTTCATCACTACAACAAAAGGTGATAAGTGACCTCAGAGAAATGCAAACAGAGGGAGGAGTTTCCCAACACCTGTAGAGCAGCCAGCCACTGTTGTGTGTTCCTGTGTGTGTGTGTGTGTGTGTGTGTGTGTGTGTGTGTGTGTGTGCGCGCACGCGCGCCTGCGCACAGAGGCCCTCCCAGCCTTCAGGTGATCTTCTGCCCGCAGGTGATCTGCTGCTCCAGCACACACCTAGACTGGGCAGCGCCAAGCCACACAGGACCCACAGGCACAGACCTAGGGAGCTGAGCAAGTCCCTGCGGAGTCAGTTACAGTACAGCAGGTGTGACCAGCAGATACTGCCGCTGAGGCTCCAGCCACGGAGTGGAGTGAGACTGGAGACTGTCACGGGGCGGCTGTCAGAGTTGATGGGCTCGGTGGTCTGAGGTCGGAGGATCATTCCTCTCTCCGCAAGGCGAGGTTACGTCACTTCGGTGTTTTTCCTTCCGCCTCCTTCTGGATGTCTAAGGTGAAGCGCTTTACTCTCTTCTCCAGCTCAGAGGCTGAGAATGGTGTGGAAGAGAAAAAGAAGGTCTTCAGGTCACCAACAGCCCAGTCCCCTACCTCATCCGTGGAGGCTGAGTCACCCGACCAGAAGAGAAGCATTTGTCTGCGGTGAGTCTGTTGGGCTTGTCGTTCTCAGGATTGTGGGAAGTGCTAGAGTTTCTAGTTTTATGGTTGTTGTTAAGGGTGAGACTCGACTGTAGGTAAATAAAAGGCACCGGGGCTTCCCGTCCTCTCTCTTCCTGGCCACGGCCTTTTCTCCTCCTGCCCCAGTCTTCTGCAGAATGGCTCCCCTTTCTGAAAGCGCTGATTCTGCTGAGACGAAGCTGGGAAGACCGCTCCCAGGTGTAGAGTGGGCAGTCCTGTGCAGGCTGGACAGCTTGAAGAGCCTGCTCAGCCTCTGGGTGCGCACACCTGGCCACCTGCTTCCCAGGGATCACAGAGGCATGACGTCTTGTGACTGGGACGCCTGGTTTGGTTGTGGAGCAGCCGAGAAGTGATTTGGAGATGTGAGACTACAGTCCCATCACTCTTAGAAGCACCAGCTACCAAGCAAGGCCTTAAAGCTGCTTTTTAGCCCTTAAAAGAGTCCAGCAAAACTAGTGGTCAATGATAGGTAAAGGGGGGTTGTTGTTTTTCTCTTTGATTTTTTTTATGGCATTGAGGATTGAGCCTAAGGCCTTGAACATGCTAGGTAAACACGGTGCCACTGAGCTACCTCCCCTGCCCTAATCTCTGCCAAGGAGTGGTTGCTCTCTTTCCCCGTTATTAGAACTGGAACTGCTACCTTCTCCCTCCTTTGGCCTCTGCTAAGAGAACTAATTCATGCTTTTCACTTCTTTCCTGGCCCCCAGCCCAACTGTGTACTCCACTCAGGACCAAGCCTAAGTCCTAGCTCTTCCCCAAAACTCCCTTCTTCAGACTCCTCCGATTCCTGCCGGTGCACCCATCTTTTTGGATTCCTGTTTTGTGGCATCTTGCTTTTCGCTATTTTTCCTTTAGCCATTTTTCATCAGAGAATCCAGCCTCATTCACCAACTGAGTTTCTCCAAAGGGCACAAAATGAGTTATTTCGTGTGTCTCTCGCCCCTGTTAACTATCTGTAGCAGTCAGCTACTCACTGGCTTTACTCCAAATTCCCCATGTTCTTCTGAGAGCATCAGTAGTACATGTGTGGAAACTGCGTGGCAAACACATGTGCCTTCCGAGAGGGCCCTGCACTGGATTAATGCCCTGTTCGTAATGTCGAGACGTTCATAGTAAGTTAGCATAAGGGACCCCATACCTTCAGTTTGCAGTGGGCTCCAGTCCTGCTCATAAGCACCTGTAGGAAGTGAGGCACCCAAAGAAATCACGGCTGTGCAGAGAGGTCAGTAACTGCGGTGACTTGGAGATTATCAAACAGCTGCTGTGCTTGGCCCATCTGCCCACAGTTCATGGCTCTTTATAAGATCTCACCATGTCCTCTCCAGTTCCATTACTACTTGAATCGGTAGAGCTCATACATTCAAATCAGTCAGTAGGATAAATAAATTGGAGTTTGGCATTTGTAAAAAAGTAGCTTCATTTTCAAGTAGAGCACACACGTTTACTCATATTTCAAAAAAAGTAATCTGTAGAATTCCTAGGGAATTTGTATCTGTGAATAGGCTCAAGACCTGTAGCTGAAATCAAATCCGTTTACCTGAATTGCTGAAAAGACTACGTATGATCTTATATTGTGTCATGGGCTGTCACGAGCAACCTGGGATATTATACGTTCCGCCTTGTCACAGCAGAGAGACAGTGCCCAGTGTCTCTCAGAGGTTGGTCATTTGTGGCTCTGCGCAGTATCTGAATGACTTCAGAGTCTTCCTAAATTGAACTAAATGTGTACCAGAGTCTTGTTTTAAGGAGTAATAATAACATAGAATCAGATTTCTTGGGGACCGTTTCCCCGATAAAACAGTGAGACAGGTACACAGTTATCAAACCTGTTCACATCCGTCCTACTTTTAGAGATCCTACATATATTCCCCTTTGATGTGATGGCTTGGGCTGTAGAGCTGAAGAAATGTGCAGAACCACACACCTGCTGCAGTGGAGAGCCGGGACCGTAGTGACCTCAGAGGAGATTCCGGAGCTCTGACCTTTGCCTGTAACAGGTCTCAGACTTGAACTTCAGCCTGCTCCTTCCTTCCTTCCTTTTCTTTTCTTTCTTTCTTCTTTTTCCCTTCTTCTGATCTCACTTTCATTATTTTCCCAACCTTGTCTCTCTTCTCCTCGTGCCCCATGCATTGCTCCTCCTGTTAGGCCCTGTGTGGGAAATCACCCTGTTCTGCTGGTCTCCTCTCCTCTTGCCTCTTAGACTTGTCCATCTCCACGCCTCCGCCTAACTCCAAGGATACGCATTGCTAAATCGTGTGCTGCCTTTTTAGACTGTGTCTGATGCGTGCATCCATGGGCTGCCAAAGAATAAAGACGGCCTTATGTGCCAAGACACCGTAGCACAATGCCCTCTCAGTTCAATTAATACTTGTTAAACATTAATGGGTTCTGAAACAAACATTTTCTTTGATTGAACGATAGCTGCAATTTAGTCATTTGCCCCAAACAGACCTCTTCATGCAGATATAAATACTTTTAAAATAGCACTTTTAAATAACGTAATTATTTTCATATCTCAGTTGCTATTTCTGCAGTGCGTGACTAGTTTGCAGATACCGTCTCAGCACCTACAGTATGTGCTGTGTAAGTGCCCTAAAAGTATCAAGGATGATTATCTCGAAGAGAAAAACAAACGTTCATCTGCTCATGACATGGTATAGTCACTGAGATTTATTACAACAATGATTGGCACAGCAATTCCATTTTATAATCTCCCTGGATTTTATTTCCCTAGGTCAAAATCCAGTTTTGATGGTACCTCTTTAGCAGGTGACAAGCATGACTGTAAGACAGAAAGCAAAAATGACCCCAAGACTGAAAGGAAAAAGTCTTCATCTTCCAGCCAGGTAACAGGAATGGAACATATGTTGTCTCAGAGGATGACGGTTGTTTGAGCCACTGGAAAGAAAGAGCCCAAGTACACAGCTTCCTGATGGCCAGGGGTAATATAGGATTAAGTTTACAGAATTTAAAAAATCAGACAGGCAGCAATTCCTTGGGTCAATTTTTCCTCCATATTAGGATCCACAACTGACCTTTCGGGCCATGTTGAGGGGCCATTAACGCCATGCTGGCCTCCAACTCTGGACAGTACTCACAGAGCAGAGACCAGCATAGTCATGGACTTGTCTAATTAGCAGAAATGGAAATGGGACATTCTTATATCAAAACTACGGAGTCTTTTAAGAAACCAGCTGCTCCAAAAGAAGGAAGACCTAAGACCAGGGTCATGGATCTTCAGAAGTAATTTTATTTCTGCAAAGTCCAGTTTTGTCATACAGTGCACTTTATTTACTTAGGGCTGGAAATGTAGAGATTTGGGTTTTGGTTGTAAGAATTGAACCCAAGGCCTCTTGCATGCTAAGAACATATTTCACCTCTGAGCTACACCTCTGCCTAGCCTGAGACGTTTTTGCACTTGTTACTTTTTGATACATTACCCCTTCATACTTGAATATGTACCTCCCAAATCCTAAAATAAGTAAATAAATGAAAACTGTTGAAACATCCATGAGATTTAACTAGATATCAAATTATTTGAAGTTTCACAGTTATCCTAGTTTTTTTTTAAAAAATCTCCTTTATAGAAGTTTCCTTCTCAGGGAATCAGTCAAGAGTCAGGTATTTATTCATCATGCCAATTTTAATTTAGGTCGATCCAGTACCTTTGGGGGGGCTTTTATTACACTGACATTTTTGAAGAGTCCATAGCATAGGATATTGTGAACCAAGTGTGCAACCAATGCTGCCTAGCCGTTAAAAGTTTCAGCAAAGCCCCCACTGAAAACACAAGGTACTTTTCTGGGTGCCAGGTCCACACCTAGAAGCAGTGTGAAGTGAAGTACTTTAACAAGGTATTTCTGAAGTAGACTTGGAGGAACCATCTCGTTTTGATGACCTGGTCTAAAGCTTTTTTTTTTTAAACAGCAGTTTATCGGACCACTTTTGCCATAGAGACCACTCCTATTTGGATCATAAACCTTCAGGGGCCTATGCGTGCATTTGTCTGTTTTCCCCGCCAGACTTCTTTGCAAACCTCCCAGGAAGCAGAGTCATCCTGCAGAGGGAGGACCTCACTCTACCTCTTAGGAGCTCTGTGGCAGGGCCTTTGGGACTCAGTGTTCCCAGCGCAGTGTCCTAACCCCTGGAATGGGACACCGGGCTCTCAGGAGGAGGAGGATGTTGTGAAAGCATTTTGCAAACTGAATTTCTGGTTGTCCATTGTCATTGCCATTGTTGCATAGACGGATACCTTGAAAATGAAACGGTTTATAATGTTTGAGACTCCTGGTTCTTCTGCTTCCCCAGGAGTTGGTTTTCTTTTGTATGAAATCCTACCTGTCTGCTTCTTAAGCAGATGCCTTCACAGTATTGCAGTGGTGACCACACTGTCCCAGACAGTGGGTTCTTAGATGTGTTAGCTCCAGAAGCCTGTGGCACCCCTCCTGGCAGGTTGTGCTTTTGTCCACTGGTACAGAAGAGGAAACTGGGCCACAAAGCTATTAGTGACCAGGCCCTTGCTCACACCAAGGAAGAAAGAGAGCCAGGAGTTAATTTAGGTTTTTTCAGGGTGAAGTCTTGAACCCCTCTGTACTCTGCTGTGGGTACCCACTTGTATCTACAGTGCCCTGCAGTGCAGCACCTTCACCAGTAAGAATCTTTAGCATTTCCTTTCATCTTACTTGTCCTGCCCTGTTATTGCAGCTGACCCCAGCTACACCCTGTGGCCATCCAGCAAGGTCCTAATCATATTTGAGAATGAAATCTGTGAACCCCAACTTCTACTGTGTCTCATTGAAGGATCAGGGAGGATGAATTTTTAAAGACGGTGTGAAGGGAAGGAAAATTTGTGGATTTGTTGTTTTTTTGGTACGAGGTATCAAATTCAGGACCCTGCGCTTGCAAGGCAGGTAGCAGCACCACTGAGCGAAATCCCCAGCCTGAAAATTTAAAGTGGAGTTAAAATTTGTGATAGTCCTCAAAAGCATATAAGAAAATCTGTGTTCTGTTCTCCTTGCAGTATAAAGCAAATATGCACTTTCACAAGTTGTTTCTTGATGTCCCAACTGAGGAACCACTGAGGCAGAGTAAGTTCTGACCTGTTTGACTTCCTACGTGCTTGAAAAGTTGACTCATTAGCTTGGAAGAAGGAGGGCACATCGTGGGGACCCAGTTACTGGGGGAGTGGGTTTCTTCCGGGAAGAGATCGTGTGGTATCAATGGCGGCTGCAGTCTGTTCACCAAGCACTTTGAAAGATGAGTGTCTTCACGTGATATGGCTTCATCCGGGTCATTCCAGAATGATCCCTTTGCCTTTTGTATTTATTGCTGAAATGCATGAGATTGAATCATCCTGAGGTTTAGAATAACAAGCCTCGGTCAAGAGAAGCCTAATAAAAGGAGGCCAGTAGGAAACACAGGTCTAAGTGGAGAGGTGCGTTTTACTGCCTGTGCTGTGCCGGATGTGGCGGTCACACCAAACACCTTCCCAGGGAGCCTCATGGTGGGCCCTGAGGTTCACATACTGCCTCTCTCCGTGCACAGATGTCAAGACCAAGAGCTGGATTCCTGCTGTGGTCCCTGGGAGAAGGTGTAGTTAGGTGCCCTTCCCCTGGGAGGCTGCATGATTCAGTGAGTCCTGAGTGAGGCTCCCCAGCAAAAAAGAACTGGAAGCGGGTGCTGATGTTCGCACGCGGTAACACGCTTTCCGGAACAGAGTAGGCTTCTGCACTGCGTGTCTTGGTTTCTCATGCACAGCGTTAGGCTTGCCTTCACCACTGATTCTGTATGACTTTAAATTTAAAAAACTTTAGGGCCAGGGATTTAGCTCAGTGGTTCCGGCGCCTGTCTCACAGGTACACGGACCAGAGTTCGATCCCCGGAACCAAAACAAAGCTATAGTGACTGCAGCATTAGCCCACTGGCAGTAACTGAGAGGGGGGTGGTAGAGCTTTGGAGTGTAAGTGTATCATCGTGCCCATGCTTAAATTACCAAGATGTAGACAATTTTTATTTTAAATAAACAATTTTCTAATGGAATTCCGCGTGGTGTCGCTACACCTGTTGCTGTTTTCCCAGGCTTTACCTGTGCTCTGCAAAAGGAAATACTGTACCAAGGAAAGCTCTTTGTGTCAGAAAACTGGATTTGTTTTCATTCCAAGGTCTTTGGAAAGGACACTAAGGTGGGTATATGTTTACAGAAGAAAGCTAATCCTGTATTTTTATATATTGTAAATAGAAATTATTTTACATTTAGCTTATTTACGTCATGATTATGCCTTTGTACCAAGTTTCTTTTGTGGCAGCACCAAATACTGCAGACCCTAAAGCCTCCAGATGACTGTCGCTTCCATTTTTTTCCCTAATTACTAGTCTCTCTCATTTCCTTAAACCAATACACATTCTGCCTCCGCCATTCCACACCCTCAACCCCTTTACCCAGATGTCACCAGAGATACTCCGGACTTGTTCACGTGGGGAGGGTGTGTAACTGGCTTTGGAGGCATTCGTTAAAACCAAAACACTTTTTAAAAAGAAATATCAGTCTTTGCACCACGTCCACACGTCCAGAGATGTAGGACAACGAGCCTGTAAATAAGCTGCTCACCCCCATGAGCAGGAATGAGTAGGAGCTGGAGCTCTTAATGCTCCTGGGAGAGGCAGTTCCCACAGCCCCAAGTATTCACTGATCCGTCCTCCACCTGTCCGGTGGATCTTCTCATTCTCATCAGACACAGAGTCCGTGGAGCCGGGGTACACGACAGCCTGAGTGTCGATGACAAGTACCTGAGGTGCTGGCAGTTGGCCCAAGGCACCACCTTCTAAAATTGTGTTGTAGGAAGGGAAAAGATAATCCCACCCTGCTGACTGACGTCTTCACCTTTGAGTTTACGAAGGCCATGAGAATAAGTCGGAGAAACACATTTTTGGATTTGTATGACTGCAGTGGGAATTCAGTCACTTGACTCATGATTATGAATGGGCTTTTATGCTCATAAAGTAGTGGATTAAAAAGTTTTTGAGTACACATACTTCATTTAAATATTCTTCCTAAAGCCAATAATGATCATTACCAAGACCACTCAACAGATACGATGGAAATTCTTCATGGTATTAAGATTATAAAGTGAAACAGGTTATTTTTCTGTTGTTTATTATGTAATGTTATAAATATTTAAGTCATTGTCTAAATCAGTACAATGCAAAGCAATTTTTGTGTGCATGTGTGTGGTACCAGGGATCGAACTCAGGATTTTGCACTCATGAGGCAGGCGGCAGAACCACTGAGCTAAATCCCCAGCTCTTGCAAAGCAGTATTAAGTAGTACTCCACCATGGATCTCTAGATTTTAGTAATGTTTTCATAGAGGAGAGAAGGGGATTTACTAGTGTTGATTAGTGTGAAAAGAAAGTTCTCAGGGAATCAGAGTCAACATCTCTGAGCAGATAAACACCAGTTGTAGTTGAAGACATTTTGTGAAAAAAATTACTCATTTTTAAGAGATGCGGGCATTCATAGAGGGAGAGAGTGCAGTTTTAAGCTAATGTGATTCTACAATGTTTTTTAAAATCATACTTCTATCTAAAAGAGACGTGACAAAACAAGCCAAAAGGAGTGACTTCCTTTTTTTAAAGACATAGACATCCTTTTGCACGCTTTGCATATGCTATGTCTTATCTACAAAAGCAGAAGATGGAAAATTAGAAGGGCATTGGAATCAGACCCATGACAGTGACTTACGTGTTTCTTCCCCTCTAAAGATGGTATCAAAAGAGACCTGAAGGGTCGGGAATTTAGCCCAGTGGTTCTGGTGTCTGCCTCTCAATCTCAAGGGCCCAAGTTCAATCCCCAGTACCACCAAAAAAACACTACTGAAAAGAGACCTGGGCCCAGAGATGCGGCCAAATTTCCTCACTGTCCATAGACCTCTGTCCAGCATGATTCGGTATAATCTGGAGACTCCCAAACTATTTATTTACTCTAGAAGGAAGACCTTTCTAAGCACTGTAGTTTGAAGAAATATTAATAAAGTATAGCTTCTCTTTAATCAGCCAGGTATATGTCCAGGTGCCAGTAAAATTTACATGAGCGTCTCATCTCATCTCTCCTCACTGAAGAGCATTGCACTTTCATTTCTCAAGTCTGACCTGTGTGACTTTCGAATTCATGACGCAGCTGTCCCATGCCTTGGCAAAACCCAAGTTTATAGAGCCTTGTGCCTTTGTGTTGCCACTGAGAAACAGAATTGGACTTATCGGCTCCCTTAGTATGTATTTAACTCCTTTTTTTCCCCCCAAAGTTATCCCAACTTTAAAATTTAGAATTATCTCCTGCCCTCTAAAATTCTTGTTGAGTAGAGTTCTCCAGAAAAATAAGTTGTAGAAGATATCTAATTTCAATTGTTCCCGTAGTCTTCCTGACTTAAATTTAGCAGGGCAGTAAATAACCCCACCTCAGAAAACCACACGTGAAGGCAGACATTCAAAAGTAAAGGCTCATCCTGTTTCCTTCACCTGGCGTTACCCACACAAGGCCCGCCCCTGCCCACTGGCCTCGTTGATCTCTTCAGGAACACTGTAAGCAAAGCATCTCAACAAAATAAACGTTCAAGTACGTGTGTGCATCTGAGAAAGGAGACAGCACTGTTCTTTTTCCATCCCTGTGTGTGACTTTATTTTCAGGGATCAAAGTGATAATGAGTTTCCCTTCAAACCTTCCCCAGTTGGAAGGATATAACAAAATATCAGGAATGTCTGCTATTCTTTATTCCATCTGATATATTTTTAACTTCTTTATATGCATGACCTTTAGCAAATCACATATCTAAATAAATTTCATTATCTCTTAAAATAGCAATTTTGCAGGCTCATCATAATTCAGTAACATTACCATCTAATAAATATTAATAAGGATAGCTTCTATAGTTATTATCGTTCCTATTAGAAGCAGAAGGAGCTTTGAGGTTTTTTCCCCACCCATCTTGATTTCATGAGTCAAATGAGGAAATTCTTATTTGGTACTGGACATTTTTATATAGTATATTATTTAATCCACAGAAAATTGTGAGAAGTAGACAAGACTGTCTCTGACGTGTAAGTCAGGAAAGAACAGCCCAGAAAGGATACCTTAATGTTTGCATAGGTGATGTAGATAGTAACAGAGCTAACTTCACACCTGAGACTTTCCATCCTCTGATGGCTCTCCCCGCACCAGTTCTTTCTAACATTTTTTTCCACCCACACGCACCCAACACAGAGAAGAGGGGCTTGTGGAGATTAGCCCAAAGTTGGGGCCGAAAGTGTGAAACTTCTGCAGAGTCTGTGGCTCTAATAAAGGACAGTGAATGTAAATTCTCCATTCTAAATAGAATGGTTTCCACCAAGACCGTCAGTAGGAGTGGGGACCCCGCTCTCCTCTGACTTTGTGAGCCTGCACGAAGAGCTCGGTGACACCATTTATGAGATTCACGTTTTTACACGAAGGCGCGAAAGCTTGATGCCGATGTTGATTTCTTTATATATTATTTCCTTTTCTTCCTTTAACATGTAGCTTTGAAGTACTGTTCTGTGATGTCTAAACCAGTGTTAAGTTCCTGATTGTGTTTCAGATTGCTATTCCTGCTTTCTCGGTAACCCTAATAAAGAAAACCAAAACTGCTCTTTTGGTGCCAAATGCCCTGATTATAGCAACAGTCACTGACAGGGTGAGTATACTCTAGGGCAGGGCACCTTCGCCTTGTCCTCTGAGCTCTGTTGCCCTTGGAATTTCTTCTGTGGTGAGGCAGAGATAGTCTTTAAGACTAGCTTGTAAAATTATGTACTAGAGGGCCGGGGATGTACCTCACCTGTACAGTACCTGCCTGGCAAGCACAGCACCCTGAGTTCAATTCCCAGTACCAAAAATATAAATTATAGACTAGAGACATTTATGTAGTATGGTTTCCCTTACAAGGTGATTTATTCCAATATAATTGTTGCCAGTTTTAAGTTTCCAGCTGACTTAATTATACTTGCCTGACCAAGGTCAAAAAAATAAAATTTTTTCCTAACTTGCTTTCCCTAACATCTCTTTGCTCAGGCTACACTGAGATACTCAGTTCTCTTATATTACTTTTTTTTTTTAAAGAGCCAGATTTGTCAGCACACACTTGTAATCCTAGCACTTGGGAGGCTGAGGCAAGAAAATTACAAGTTCAAGTGCAGCCTGGGAAACACAGTGAGACCCTTTCTGAAAAATACCCAGAGACAGATTAAAGAAAAACAGAAGGCAAGAGCAGGGACAACCTTGCTGATGGGGTGAGGCAGGGTGATTCTGAGGACTCCCAGGGCAGGAGTGGTCGGCCTCCCCCTGACCTCTGCAGGTACTCACAGCGTGAACGAAGCTCATGCCTGCTCTGTAGTGGCACCTTCAGGGTGAGTTCCGACACCCACTTTGCTGCCAGATACCCGAGATTCTCTTCTATCCAGAAACTCTGAAGCTCTTGTTGACTACTGGGCTGTCCCAGATGTGTACAAGCAGAGGTATTTCCTCTGAAAGTGGCGTTGATGAGCTGGGTGTGTGGCTTAGTGGTCCAGTATTTGCCTGATGTGCCTGGGGCCCTCGGCCCAACCCCTCAGCCCTGCAAAAAGTGGAAAAAAGAGTGGCATGGATGGGGGGAGTAAAGGAGGGAGAGAGAAAGAGAGAGGAGAAAGGTAGAAAGAAAAGTACTGATCTCCGCTTGACGGAAGGGAGTGGAGTAGTTTGGTTGCTCATTTTTTGGTTGAAATCATTATTTCATCTTTTACCTACTGTTTTTATGAAGGCATAAAATCTGTGTTCCATTTCTAACCATACTAGGTGCTTTATAGAGAGAACAGGGGAGATAGAAAGATAAGAGAGGCTATAGTGATAAGCTAGAAAATAACAATATATCTGTTTGGAGTTTTCCTTTCAAAACAAGCATCAAGCACAGCTTGCCAGGTACACATCAAGCGCTTTCTTTATGTTTTCTCATTAACTCCATATCACCACCTCATAATGAAACATTCTTAAGCAGCGTCCCCAACGTCACCCACTTAACAAGGGTCAGAGCCCAATTTTGCACCTGGATCTGACACCAGAACCCACAGTGTTCACCACTCGGAATACAGCACTATTTATTTGGAAATTGTATGGTGTTCTCTTGTTGGTGAATGAGAGGGGTCCTCTCAAACTCACGGAAAGGGTGTCTGAAAAGATTTCGTGGCTCACATAGATGGCAAAAGTGAATTTTTATATTTTTCTGAATGTACCATTTATGGTTAAAAAAATTTTTCCTTATGTCATTTGTCTCCAAATCATTTGTCTGGCTATTGTTTTACTCCTTTCCCGTATCTCGTTTGTAAGCATCCACTAGAAAATCTCCATATTTGTACAGAGAAGAGTCTGGAAGTAGCATAAAAAAAGAACTAGCCTGTTGGAGCCCCTGGGAAGATTTAATGAGAACCTGGGTCAGAGGCGAGAAAGAGACTCATGGGAATTATAAAATACCTTTCAAAACAGCAAAACTGGCTGAGGAAGAAACTTTAAAGGGGATCTGGCAAATATCCCCAGACTTTCCTTAATGTTTAAGACTTTCTTATCTTTTTTCAGGCACCTTTAGACATTTGGAACCTTCATTTTGCCCTGCATTTCTTTATCACTCTTCACTTGAGTTTGGGGTCGCACTGCTGTTGTGGGGGAGTGTACTTGCTGTATTGCTGAAATGAAATAATAATTGCACAGCTGAGTGAAAGGAATGAGAATATAGACCAGAGATTTGTCTCTGGCATTTGAAAATGAAGAAACTAAATACAGATTTTCTGAACTCCAGGCTCTCACTTCTCACCAAGGAGTATCTGTTGTAATCATTCTCTTTTCTTTTTCAGTACATATTTGTCTCTTTACTCTCCAGAGATTCAACTTACAAACTACTCAAATCTGTATGTGGACACTTAGAAGTGAGTGTGACGTTCTGAGCTCCAGTTCCTCCTGTCTTTCTTTTGTATTTTTTATAATTTTTGTTGGTTTTTTATGATAGTTGATCTGGCTTTTCTTTTTTTCTTTTTTTCAATAATTACAGAATACAAGTGTCGGTAACAGTCCCAATCCATCTACTACTGAAAATTGTTTCGGGGCAGCTCGCCCTTCATCTCTGCCTCTGGTGAGTTGCCTATATAACTATGGAATCTCAGTGCAGAAGGAACTGGCTACATCCCATAGCAACACGCTGCTGACACCAAGATAGAAGGACTGTGGGGAAGACTTAGGACTAGTGTTTTGAGGACAGCTGAGGAAGGGGCCTGTCTCCCTAGAAGAGGGAACCATGGGAGGCCACACGCTTTTTGCTAGTAATTGAAAGGGGTTCTACAAATTAAAAGAAACACGATAGTCCATCCTGCTTAGTTACTAGTCAGTGAAGGTATTCATGAGGTCTTGCCCAGGGCATCATGCATGCTTGGCAATTGCTCTACCACTCGGCTACATCCCCGGCCATGGGTTTTGTTTTAAAAGAATTCACGAATCTCTTTGAGGAAGGGCACAAGTCATCTCATAGAGGTCATCTATGTTCAAGATGTTCTACTAGGATGTACTATAGGAAACCAGGAAAAATCGAAACTGATTCTCACCTTCACAGACTTCATAACTTAGAAAAGCGAATGAGACAAACTCAGAAATAACTAAAATAAGAACAAGAAAGACATAGCCATGTACGGTGATACACATCTACAATCTCAGCACTCCAAAGAGTGAGGCAGGAGGATCATGAATTCGAGGCTAGCCTGGGATACATAGTGAGACCCTGTCCCAACAAACCAAGAAAAGAAAGGCAACAGGTAGAGATTGAATCTTTTAGGCTTTGTTGACTGAAAGGTAAAGCTCCAGTGTGAAGCAGCCCCTCGCTTGTACAAGATTTGTGGCTATAACAGCGTATGTTTTCCCACAAGAGATCTAACCATTGCACCATCCCAAATTGGTGACATTAAGTGATTATTCCCAAATTGATTATTGTTCAATGTTTACCTTCAGTGAAGCAGCGTCTCCTACAAATCTTCATTTCAAAAAGTAGTGGAATTGAAAAATATGTTCACACCTATTATATAAGAATTTCATAGCAGTATTATTCAAATAGCCAGAGAGAGAGAGAGACAGTGTGTGTGTGTGTGTGTGTGTGTGTGTGTGTGTGTGTGTGTGTGTGTGAAGGTTCCTAATGTACTTTAACTGATGTGTGGATTTATTAGAATGTGGCATATACATATAATGGAATAGTATGTGGCTGTAAAAAGGAAGGAAGTGGTGATACATGCTACAGCATGAATGAACCTTAAAACACTCTAAGTGAGAGAAGCCAGACACAAAAGGCTCTATAGTGCATGAGTGCATTGTCATAAGCTTAAATATACCTAATGTACTTTACCTTACCAAACATCATAGTTTAACAACACTGTACAACCTAGAGCACTGATTGTCCCCCATCATGACCACACAGCTACCTGGGAGCCCCTGCTCCCAGCTACCACCCAGCTTCACAACAGAATAAAGGTCAAAATTCAAAATCTGACATATGGTTTCTACTATGTACCACTTTCACACCATCACAGAGTTATGAAGTTGTAAGTCAGACCCAACTGCCTATAAAACATTCCAAATAGGCAACCTATACATACAGAAAGCAAATTAGTTGATAATAAGAAATGGGGTAAGGGAAAAATGGGGAGTGACTGCCGCTGGTTACAGAGTTCTTTTGGAAATGTTCCGGAATAAGATATTAGTCATAGATGGACAACATTGTGAATATTCTAAAAACCACTGGATTGTACTGGATTTTCCCTCAAGTTTTAAAGCATCTATCTTATAAAAAAATATTGGGAAGTGGTACGTAATATACCTAGACACACATAACTTGGAATCCACCAAACCTGGCTCCATTCTGGGCTCCAGCTGAGTTGTCACTGGGGAAACTCTTTCATTGCTCTCAGTTTCTTCAGCTACTAAAATACCAGCCTCAGATTGTGGCTGTGAAGAATGGCTACAGTCATGCATGTAAGATCTGCATGCTGCTACTATGTGGTAGGTGTTCAGTAAGTCATGATGACATTGAAGAAATTTAAAATTTTCAATTTTGCATCCCCTACAAATTCTTATATAAAATTGAAATGAATGACCAAAAGACAGGAAATTCCAAGTGAAAGTCTGGTGATTTGCTTATAAAATGGATCTCTTCTTCATTTGGCAGCTTTAAATTGTTAAAAGCTCAGCCTATTTATATCTTTGCCGGGACATTTTAATGTGGCTACTTGTGTTTTTAGTTCTTAAGTATTTTGGAAGAGCCAGTAGAATACAAAGTAAAACATCTGTTTTTTCCCTTCTTATCATCTTTGTGTAATTTAAATGCAATATCACTGACCATTCTGATCCGTTGTGGGAAGAAAAAGAGGTAAAATTTTATTTTTATGATCTGATTTGCAAAAGCCATTTTCCCCTTTCTGTATCCAGTGCCTCTTTAAATGCTAGAGGTGTCTCTCTGTCTCCATATTCACACTCCTTTAGAACTTCCTACTTGTCTGTCTTCTGTATGTGTGTACCACTAGGTTTCTCTCCTTACGAAGTACTAATGAGTCTTCTCCAGGGTTACGCTGGACACTTTTCAGTCACCAGCATCCCACTTGCTTTTCTGGACATTGGTTGTTTGAAACAAGTTGGCCACTCTCTGTGGTCCGAATTCTAACCACCCAAAAGAAACTCAGTCTTAGCGACGGGATATGTGGGTCAGTTAGGAAAATCCCCACAGTGGAGGGTGAGCCTTCCTTTCTGTAGTTTATGGGTCAAGTCTAAGAGGAACAGGCGTTACAGAGGCCTGCCAGTTTGCTAAGGAAAAATTGGGCTCTCTTTTCTGCATTGTCTACCTTCAGGATTTCAATGATGAGTTTCCATATCTGGATGGAGTTGTTGGACGAAGAAGGCCACACATGGAAGGGTACAGCAGCTCTGGCTCACAGACTCCTGAATCTGAGAACTCTCGAGGTGTGGAAAATGTTTGTGCCTTGACTACAGTGTAATTCCTACAGAACACCTCACAGTTTACCTTGTGCTGCGAGTTAAGACTTGTAAATCTGGAAAATGGATAGTTTGAAAGCTCAAGGGAAAGGAATTGCCGATGTGGTAAAAATTCATTTCCTTGTAGACATTTAACAAATGTCTCTTAAATAGACATAGTATTGGGGTGGTTGAGAGAAATCAACATGTAGTACTTCTTCCCTCTTATTTCAGTAACCATATTAATTACGATAGCTGAAGGGGTGCTTATTTGTTGGTGGGGTATTTGCTTGAGATTGGATTTTATCCCCAGCCACCTCAACCATTTTATGAGAAGATCCATTTATTTACTTGGCCACTCTGCAAATTAAAGGACTGATTTCCACTGTGGTTAGTCTTATGTTTTTCAATGCATTAAGAAGAAAACTGACCCAGCCCCTTTTTGGCATGGTAGATTTCCATGTTTCTGAATCCCGGACTGTTCTGAATGTTTCCAAGTCAGAAGTGAAACCAGCTCGTGCAGATGCCCACGTGAACAGAGTGTCTGAAGGAAAAGCCAAGAGTCTCCCCACACATGGTAAAAAACAGAATTATTTTGAAGAGGGGGGAATTTCTGTTTGCAACTTTTGAAACAGCCCAGTGTCTCACTTAGACTGCCTTTCATATCCCTTCCCTTTCTCCCCATTGTAGGTCTTTGCATATTAGCTCTCACTTATTCATTATACAAAAAGTACTCAGTCCAGTACTTTTCTCTGGGAGATAACACAGGGTTGACCTTCATGGAGGTCACTCTGTTATTCTGAATACTTTGAGATTGTCATCTAAAAATTGACAAAACTCAAATTACTGAATTATTTCTTTATTTACTAATTATTCTAGCAACTAGTTACAAGTCACATTAGCGTAAGAGCAAAGATGGTGTTCCTGTCACTCTCCGTGGGCTCCAATGCAGTACTGGACATAGAAAAGACCTGCTGTAAATATGTATTGAATAAATTGTGTTGGGAAGAATTGAGGTGACACCTGGATAGCTTCAATTGGTATTTTCTCTCATTTATTTTACCTGAATGGTTACCTGTGTCAGGTACCTGTTCCCTACCGGGATATTGCTGGATGAGGAAAGGTGTTAAATTGTTGCTTTTCGGGTTTCCATCCAACAGGTCAGTCAGAAACAGCTGGAATCTTGCCTAGAGTCAAGTCTCAGAAATGTCTGACTCTCCATCATATTCTTATATTCTACGCAATTGTGTAAGTAAACATATTTACTACCCATGACTTACATGAACAATTCAGTTCCCTAAAGGGTTACCTTTTCACGTTACCATGAGCCATTGCAAACCTCAGATGTCTCTAATGTGAAATACAGTCTCAAATATAGTCTTTGACCATTTCTGTTTCCCACTTTTTTTTCCCCTTCAAATATAGGACATTTTTTATAATAATTATACCATATCCCACAGAGGACTAAGTTCTGAGTTGATATTATTAGTTGGGAAACGGCTGTGTAAACGGTTTAATATCTTTTTCTTGTTATGTATTTTTCCACCTCTTTGTTGTCCCAGGCAGAAAAGCCAAGGCATCTTCAAAACATCATACCCCTTTACTGGAAACTGGGTACTGGCATTTTTTACTTTCCCATCGGTTTCTAGTCTGTAACCAGTTGCTCTTCCAAAAATGACTGGCCTCGTCCTAGGCTGTTCCTCCCACAGACAGGGTCGAACGTAGTTTTGATTTCCAAAAAAAGCAAAGAATTTGTGAGTCACCAGAGAGTGAGGCTAGGTCACCTCTGCCAGGCTCCTCTGTCAGGAGGACAGATCAGGAAGAAAAGAGAGCCTGGCCTACTAATCCAGTCTGGGTCTGGCCTAGCACCGCCCTATTAGAATGACTGTTATCTGTGATTTGAGGGACATAGACTACGGGATTTTAAGTCTTTGGGTTGCAAAGTTTTATGATTTGCATCAGCCTATTTTTGAAAAGATCTTTTCAAATTCTCTTTAGCCAAGTCATTTTGGATAATACCTCCAGCATATGACATTCTCCGTGTTTTTTTGTTTTTTGAACATCAGATCCTGGCTGTTAACCTGTTGAAAAATTCTCTGTATCTGTTTCCAGGGTCTGTGCACTAATCATTTCGACCTTCTACATGAGATACAGAATCAATACTCTGGAGGAGCGGCTAGGGCCACTAACCTCCATCATAGAAACACACAGCGCTGGGTAAGATGGCTCCCTACCCAGATGTTCTTAATAGTCGACCCCAGTTTAGCAAACACTCTTTACGAAACCATCGGTTAAGTGCATATGTGGAAACTGAAGAGGTAGGAGAGGCCTAGAAATGAACAACCTAACCCCGCTGCTACAGTATCATGGGTAGTAAGGCAAGGAACACACCTAATTGTACATTATCTAGCTCTCCACCCTAACATGCAGTTGTGGCCTGTTTTATTGAACTATATAAGTCTATCTTTACAAAAATGGTAGTGACTTAGATGACTCATAGGAAAGAAGCAGTTCAATTAATTCAGCACAATTCATCATAAATAACTCTTTTTTTCTTTTCTTTTTTTGGTACTGGGGATCAGACTCAGGACCTTGCTCTATGCAAGGAAGGCAGCAGCACCACTGAGCTAAATCCCCAGCCCCATCATAAATAACTCTTTATATTAACTTATTTACAAACTTCTGAGCACTATAAAGATTCATGTGACAAGAAATTCATTGAGTATGTCTGTGAAAATTTTTCATCAGTGTGCTCTCTTCGGCAGCACATATATTACAGTTTTTCATCTGTCACTTTTTTAACATACCTGACCTAATTAAATCCACTCAGAGAAAGAATAAATAATATTCTTTCCTTTAAACCCATTTGCATGCAGATTTTGACACACTGCCTGAAAAGTAAAATAAAATCATTATCTCATCTTAGAAAGTACACTTCTTTAGGTCTTTTTAAAATCTATATAGAATACCTACTACCTTATGCTAGAGTCTCTTAGAATTGATACATACATTGACAAATACCGACAGTTTTCCCTATTATAGTTTCATCATTCCCTTATAGCAGCTGTTATTCTCATTTACAACTGAGGAAGCAGACTCAGAAATAATTAAGCTGGGCATAGTGACACATGGGTGTAATCCCTGCACTCAGGAAGCTGAAGCAGGAGGATCACCTCAAGTTTGAGGTCAGCCTCCCTGAAATAGCTAGACTGTCTCAGAAAAAGAAGTTAGCTTAATGTCTCAGTTTGCAGTAAAACCAAGATTCAAATGAAGGTCTACATAACTGCAAAGACCATGAGTTTCCCAGTCTATCAGTGGCTCTCAAAACTTAGTTTCCATCAGAATCAGCTGCAGGCCACGTCGGAACAGACTGCAGGACCCACCCCAGGACGTCTGATGTAATAGATGGGGGTCCCCGCTGATGCTGATGTGCTGGTTGGGGGTCTGCACACTGAGAACTCCTGTCTCACACCATTCAGGACCTTTTTTTCTTTCTGCCTACATTACCTAAAGGCCCCTTTCTGCAGCTCACATGTACATCGGCATACAGCTTGATTTGGAACCATAAATGTACATTTGAAACAAAACCTAAAGACCTAACAAAGAGTTTGAAACCCATTTGTACCCTCTTCTCTCCCGTCTTCTTTAAGTGTTCGTGCAATGAGAGGTAAGAGTAAGGGCCGATTACTGCATATTATCAGTTCACTGTCACATAAGGATGTGGTTTTAGTTTTTAAAAAGTACCTCATATTCCACCATCACTTCATTAACTTGGTGGCAGTGAGGGGGAGAATCCATTAGCAATTGGAATATTTATTCTACCCTGGAAGCAATCAGCCCAGGAGGAGGTACAATCTGAAAATGAACACCTTACAGGAAAAGTCACAAAGGAGACGGGTGCCATGAGGTCGGAGAACAGGGTGCAGGGAAGCTGTGTTGGTACAGCGCTGTCCGGACCTGAGCCGCCCAGGTCCTTGGCCCAGTGGTCCACCGACGCTGCCTGGACAGCTAAATGCACGCGTGTGATCTGATCCTCCATTTGCTGAAGAACCGTCCTTTGGAGCCCCAGTTTCATCGGCACAGGAACAGACTGCAAGCTCTTCAGGGAGAGCTGCTCCTCGGATGCCTGGCCCAGTGGTAACACAGCTGCTCCTCAGAATGTCAGGTGGATAAGTTAGCTCTCTGGGTCTCAGATCCCTCATCTAGAAAGCAAGGGTTTAGGGCCAGGGATGTAGCTCAGTGGTTCCACCTTCTGCCTCGCAAGCGCAGGGTCCCTAGTATGATCCTCAGCACCAGAAACAAACAAAAATAGAAAACAAGGGTTTAGATTGTGTTTCCATGAAGTAAGGATGGAAAGTGCACTATTTATTTCAACACTAACAAATAGACATCTTTCTTAAAATTTAGATAATCATGAATCATTTACTAACATGTCTGTCTCAAAAACGGACCCTGTAAACAATAGGCCAGACACTGCCATCCACCACTCAAACAGCTAAAATGAAATCACAACCAGGAAATGGAGAGATAGTACAGACCATGAGTCTTAATCTTCATCGTGAAAATGTGAAGAACAGCTGTAGACTACCTCTCCAGGAAATGTACTGCTGTGTTCTGTAGACCCTCTACTGCGTTAACTTGTACAAGACCCTAGAATAGAAGCCCATGCCAATGAACAGTCAAATGGTAAATACTGCCTCTCTCAGTTTATACGACAACAGCAATTATATTTATATGGTAAGTCTCATATTTCAGTGGAAATTTCAATAAATAGATAAAGGCACAAGTCTCATATTTCAGTGGAAATTTGAATAAATAGATAAAGAAATTTCTAACTTACTGAAAGTTCTAATGTAAAAGGCTTCTTCCTCTCCTCAAAAAAAAAAAAAATCTGCATGACTGAGAAGAGCAATAATTCTTCCAAGTGGATTTTGTGCTGGCAATGGAGCGGATGTTAGGAGTTGAAAAAGGAGTCTGAGATGTTTGAGAGTAATTGTCTGATATTTGTGTGGAAGCCAGGGTACAGCTTGTCCACTTGAACAAAAATGGCTTAAGAGTTTTCCAGCTGAGCTCTTCAGAGTGAGTGCCCTAAGTATCCAGCCTGAAGTCATAGATCACTACAGGGCTTTTCTGTTGCTAGCAAGTGAAGCGCTCACTCTTGGGCTGTAGACAGCCTCTTCTCTGTTCGAATTGGAAATGTGCTCGTTCCCCTTCTTGTGTGGCAGTCCTACCCAGGGTAATTTTCTGTTTGCTCTTACAGACAGACGACGCCATCCGGCCTGCGATCACAAGTCCATTTAAATGTGGAGGTCCTCTGCCAGGAGCTCACGGCTAACATAGTAAAATTAGAAAAGGTGACTTGCTTCACTCCTGTGTACGCGGGCACGCGTGCTCCTTCTTGTAGATTGCTGTAGGCCGGGGTGACACACTCATAACGCCTTCTGTCTGCAGCAGTCTAAGTGGCCAAACCTGACTAGGTGGGGAGGAGGTGTGTGCAGTAAATGTGAGAAAATAATTGTATTTCCATAAAGAAATGGGTTTTAATCTCATCTCACTTCATAATGCACGGTCCTGGCGGTCTGACTTTTGTGTTTCCTCCTGGTTTAGACATGTTTCTGTGTAACACAGAGAGCAGTGATAGGTGACTCCTGGCACCGGGGCTCGGGGAGGGGCACATTAGAGAGTGGCCTGGGACCAGTGACCCAGCCAGACAGCACAGCTCCGACTCCACCTGGGTCAGTTATCACCACGCATCAAACCCTGCTTTCAGTCCCTGTTACAGCCCTGGGAGACATGGGAGCAAAGCCTCACATCTCTGCGCTAAAGGTGACACGCCCAGAAGGTTGACTGGACGGAACTGGAAGTTGAACCAAGTCTGTCTCGTTGCAGAGTTGTGCCTAGGAGCCCTAAGTGTAGGTCAAAGCCATAGAGTATGCTTAGCACACGGAGGCCCTGGGTTCAATCTCCAGTCCAAAAGAAAGATGATAGGTAGATAGACAGACGGACGGATCTGCCTGTTCTACTGCTTCTCAGAATTCAGCCTTAGGCCTGTGGATAAGACCAGTGATATAAGGCCTAAAAATATCTTCAAAGGGCAAGCCTGTTTTTAGCTTGGGGCATTCTTAGAAGGTGATAGGGTGCACGAGGGGAGGAAGTATGTAAGAAATATCCCAGAATAAAGTCTAACTGGGCCGGGGATTTAGCTCAGTGGCGCCATGCCTGCCTTGCACACAAGGTCCTGAGTTTGATCCCTGGTATATAAAAAAAAACCAAAAAACTAATTAACAGGTCTTATTTTCTTTTCCTTTCAACATGTCTCTCAGCCCTTTTGATAACTATTTGGTTTTTACCCTAATTCCAAAGGGAAGGTGTGAATAATCAAGTATTTGATCAGAACTACATCACTTTACATAATATCTGGCAGCTTTATATAGTAGTATTGTTACGAGAAGAAACATGAAATACAAATGAACAAAATCATCTGTTTTGTCCCACACTAAATGTTATCTGGGTATCAATAACTAAGAGATGACAGCAAAGGCATTTCCAAACTACTCTTCTAAATCAGGACAGTTAATTCATAATTGATCTATGAGTAAACATGAAAACTTTTCTCTTTTAAACCCAAAATCAATCTAAACAAGGTATGTGTTAGCTACTGGTTTTTTTCTTTCTAAAACATTAGGCTTTGAGAATTGAAGATTTTTTTTAAGAGAAATGCTTACAAATGCTGGCTTTCATTCTGACCTAAACAATGGGTGGTATAGTTTTCACTCTGTGACTCTGATGTGCAAAGGCTATTCCATGGGTGAGACACACAGAATCCTGCTGCCTCCTCGTGTGTTTCTTCCCACTGTCCCGCCAGGCCTGGCCAGGACACCGCACGGTGTAACACGGGAACCAGACACAGCAGGCTCACAGCTAGCCAGTCTTACATGGGGCTTCAGGGCGCCTTCGGTGATACCAATGGGGATAACCTTCGTCCCAAAGCAGACTCAATAAAAACTGGTCTGGGGTCCGAATGCATAGGTGATGCACACATTTCTCAAGGGAATCTCAGTATTGAAGAGTTACCAGGCTATGCCCCAGCTCTTTGAGTAGTTTGTCCCTTCTTCAGAGGTAATCAATAATTACACAACACAGTGTGGGCATAAAATAGCAGCTACCTGCTGGTGAAAAGTCAGGCACCAGTTGGCTTTTTTTTTTTTACACGACCCCAGCAATTCTTGTGTTTCCCTTGAGGGCCTGGTCATGATCTGTTCCTGGTTATAACTCCCCTGTTTCTATGCATGGTATCGCTACCCTGACAGGAATCCATTGGAAGTCTACAAACCCTGCCTTCCTTCTCTTTTCACTAACCGATTGACTAATTTGTTAGCAAAATTCTGTGACGTCTGCCCCCAAATGTCTTCTGAAATTCCTTTACCATTAACACTCTCCAGCTCCATTCAGGACCCTGATTACCAGTTTGTAGTAGGAAATTCAATCTCAGTGTGGATTTTCCTTGTATTTTTCTAATTGCTACTGAAATTCAAATCTTGTATTTGTTGGCCCTTTGGCTTTTCTTCTATAAATTTGCTGTTTACATTCTTTGTTTTTCTTTGGAGTTTTTTGGCCTTTTTTAATGTGCTTGATGCATTTTTTGAGTGTCAGTCTCTTGTTTCTTTTCCTTTCCTACCTTTCCAGTCCTGTTTTTCCTCTTACCGTCGGTCCTGAGTTATAGGCAAGGAAGCTTTGAGCAGGAACGGGCGACAGGGGCCATGCTCGCTGTGAATAAAGACATAAATAATTGTTTCCCAAGTCCTGGGAGTGATATTAATGGTGGGGGATAGGAGAGAGGGCATACATTCCAGAGTCAGACTTCTTGGGGCCACTCTTGCTCATCCTGCCTGTGTGCCTCCCCGTGTGAGGTGGCCTCTCTGGCCCTCAGTTTCTTGTGTAGTGCCGCCGTGGCGGGGGTGGTTAAGGTGAGCATCCTGGCACACACATATGAGAGCCTCTTCTTTTCGCTTCCCTTGTGCATCTACGTAGGATGTCCTGGGCCATTTTCTGCTGCTACGATTGAACCACAGACTGAGTTAACTGATCAATAGTGAAAGTCTATTTTGCTTGCAGTTCTAGAGGCTGGAAGCTGAGTAGTTGAGGGGCCATGTCTAGTAGAGGCCTGCTGGCCTGGGTGTCTCTCCCCTTCTGATAAAGGCACGAGTGTACCATGGGTAATCAAAATGCCATTGACATACGATAGCATCCTGTTTCAGCATGAATCGGTCACCGCAGAATGTGTTTTTTCTTTTGATTCGTGGGGTTCTCTATTCCCATCGTAATGTTGCTTGTTAGGATTTCCTTGTTCTAAATTCTTTACAACTCAGGTTTTTAATGCCCAGCCCTGGACTGCAGTCTTCAGGCTGATCCCTGAACCTGTGGAGTTCACAATCTCCTTGGGATTATTGGGTGGTAATCATTATGATGCAGCATATTTCTAGCTAAAACCACCAAATGGGTCCTGTAAAAGCCCAGTTTCCTGTCATCCCTGAATGCATCTGGGTCACACCTGGTGCTGCTGTTGCTTGTTCTCTCTCTTCCTTCTCGTTTCTCTGTCTTTACTGACATTTTTGCCACTTTAAAGTAGATTGTCACATCCTAGTCCTTGAAAAAGTATGTGTTTGCCTGATTTAAGCTTAACCATTGTGTAGGTTTTTATTCGAGAGGTTAATCTCAAGCTGCCGCAAATGTGCCAGAAGATATGCCATTCTGTTTCCTAACAGAAGCTTCTCTTTCATTATTTCAAGATACAAAACAACTTACAGAAGCTGCTAGAGAAAGGTGACTGACGACCAGATTGCTGGGGCCAACTAATACCTCACGTTTCTTGGAAGGTGCTCCCGAGGCGTCCTGGTGAGCGCTTCCTGCTGGTCAGAGGCGCGAGTGGATGAGAACCCAGACACAGAGGTCTCCAGCTCAGGAAAAGGGGAAGGGGAATCATTTTGCTTCTAGTGCAATAAAAGTTGATCTGTCTCTCTGAAGAAGTTTCTGCTGCTGCCATCTGAAGAAAACAGACCCGTCTCTGGAAGTCTCAGAGCGGGCCTGGAGAACACTCTGGAATAATTATGGTTCAGCGGTGTCTGTGATCCATTGTGTCAGTAAACACTCCAGTCCAGGCCTGTTTAGTCCTTCCCACCCTCTTTTTGCTCACTTACATCCCTCTTATAAAACACTGAAACTGAGCCAGGGATTTAGCTCAGTGGTTCCACTGCCTGCCTTGCATGCACAAGGACCCAAGTTGGATCCCCGGTACCAAACAAAAACAAAAACCATTGAAACAAAGAGATGCATCATATACCAATGATCTGCATGTGGTCCTTTACAGAATCAGCAATCAGTGTCTCTACATGGACAGGCTTGCTGCACAAAAAAAACGTTCTGTTCTTTCAGCTGTTTTCTTCTAAGTTATCTGCCTATGTATTTTAACTTCTCTGTTCAGTTTGAGTAAGACTGTCAAGCAAAGTGAGTCACCCTATCCCGTTTATGTTTGGTTTGGTTTTGTCCCTGTGTCTAACGTGTAATTGGAGTGATTTTCACCCACTTCCAGTCAAGAATCTGTGAGGCATAAGACCGAAACACTAAATTAAACTTACTTTGAAACCAAAACTAATCTTTAAACCAAAAGTTGTAATAGTGATTTAATCAAGGATGAAGAACACCGAGTTTTCAAGGTAGGTGGACGGTGTGAGCTGTTTGGAAACAGGAAATCTGTACTGGATGCTGCAAGTCATTTCAGCGTGACAATTGTGTGTCTCTTCTGCTCACTAAAATAAAGAAATAACTGGTGGTTTGCTAACTTTATTTACTGTATGGCTTGGGTGGGTTTTGTTAATAATTATTTAGGGTACCATAAGATCTGTAAGTATAAAATATATTCTGTTTCTATCTGTAATGCATTTTATAATCATTTCTATGAAATGTATTTTGTTTAATCAGATAAGCTAATAAGTGAACTGGTTGTCATTTGTATTTGTTAGTCTACTGGACAACCGTGCCTGGTGCACAACTGGCTTTTAATAAATACTCAGAGGTTAAAACACCCTGCAGCACTGTGTTTTGTCAGTTTGTAAATTTCTTTTTCTTTTTTTGGTACTGGGGATCAAACTTGGGTCCTTGCTCTTGCAAAGCAGCTGCTGGAAACACTGAGCTAAATCCCCAGCCCAGTTTGTAAATCTTTTAACTACAACTTACTGGGCTTGATTTTATTTTTCATCTTTTTTTGGTATTGGGGACCGAACTCGGGTCCTTGCCCTTGCCCGGCAGGTTCAGTGCCACCAGCTACATCCTGAGCCCTTACTGTGTGCTTTTAATGCCTTTCCCACCTCCACTCCACTACTTTCAACTTCCTGCTTCTTTCTTCCCAAATGTTTACTTCAAAATTCAAAAATTATTTGAGCTCTTGTGTTACAGTGGTATCGGGAAAAGAAAATGAACTTTGTAATCAGAAAACCAATGCTTGATTCCTAGGTTCAGTTCCACATTTAAGGAGTTGTGGGGCCCCAGGCAAGTTCTTTGGCCATTTAACACCCCACCATGTAATTGATAAGGTCAAGGCTGAAAGTACCAATGAAAAATATTTTGAGGATTACATGCAACAATGCAACGAAAGCACCTAGCTTTTTACACATAACAGGTACTACACTCATTTTTTAAAATACTTTTATGACTGTCCAGTTTTATAAAAGCTCAGTAGATGAGTGCTTTCTATTCAAAGAATCAGAGTGGGTCAGCCACCTATGAGGGATAATTGAGTAATTGTGTGAAAAACCTTAAAAAGTTCAATTTTCACAGTTGATGATCTGCCAGCTAGGAATTTATCCTAAAACAACAATCAGAGATGGAGTCAGAGTTTTATGCATAAGAACATTCTCTTTATTCAACAGCAGAACAGTTAAATGAAATTGCTACTTGGAATCTTAAAAAGTTCAATTTTCACAGTTGATGATCTGCCAGCTAGGAATTTATCCTAAAACAACAATCAGAGATGGAGTCAGAGTTTTATGCATAAGAACATTCTCTTTATTCAACAGCAGAACAGTTAAAAAAAATTGCTACTTGGAATTGTGGGAAGGGTAGGGGAAAGGAAATAAGGGAAAAGAAAAAAATGAGAAAAGGAAAAAATGGAAACAGACTTTGTAAATAGGGGAGGGGAGGGAGTGTAAGGAGAGAGGGGCAGTGGGTAAAAAATGAGAACCAACATCTGTCATGTGAAGGTACAAGATCCCAATGATGAGTGTAACTGTACTGTATTCTTGAAAGGTACCAATAAACTCAATTAAAAAAAAAGGACTGTCAAATAAAATCATCAAAAATAAAACAGGAAATCACATTGAAAGCAAGCACAAAGTTATGGTATGATCCAGTGTACACGTGTGTGTAACAGGTACATGTGGAAGCACACACCTTTTCTGTATTCTGTGGGTCTTGTATAGTGAGCAGTTGTTATCTTTTTTTAGTCACACAAGTTACTTAAAAAGATTGCATGGTTCTTAGCAAGGAACAAGGCCTCACTACTGCCATGAAATTACAGCTGATAGTTTTCACCTGGAACTTCATTTCCACCAAGCATGGCAATGGTCTTGTTCTAAATAAGAGAACACTACTAGTTTGTTACCGTTTTTGCACTGGGAATGCTATCGCTTATTCTGTTTTTCTTCACTCGTGCCAGGTCAAATCTGGTGTGGGTGGGTCTAAATAGAAGAGCCCAGGTCATTGGCCCGAGTACTAACCACAAAGCATAAAAAAGCAAGCAACTGTTCAGCCTCTGCCAATATAGACAAATGTAGGGCATCCTACTAGCAGGGAGGAGATGCTCAGAGGCCAGGATAATTGCAAATGTCCACTTAAAAGCTTGGATAGTAGCATCTCAAAATTAAAGAGATGATCAGTTATAAGGCTGTCTACATGCATTCTGATACTTTAATCTCTGATTAAAAATATTATTTTAATCACTGTCGATTCCAAATATTCCCTAAACTGAAAGTGCTTTTATTATTTACCTCTCAAGATTTGTGGATACTTTCCTACATATTCTCTGCCATGCTCTTAAGGCATCTCCCAGATACTCATTTATGCAGCTTTTAAATTACTTTCACTTTTTTCCCACAGTACTGGAGATTGAACTTTGGTAGCAGGTTCTGTTCTACACCACCTTCTAGTGCATTGCCCATGCCTTCTACCACTCCTCCTATTTCATGAATTCATGAAGTTAGACTGAAAATTTTCTGGCAGTGAATTGTCCTAAGTAGGCACAATGTCTCTTGCTTTCTGACTTTCTGTTCACACACAGTATCTATCACACTAATGATCACTGTATGGTAACAAAAGATGGGAGAGGAAAATGACCTTTGTTTCCCACTAACTCACTATCTCCATGGGTCTTGATGAACCACAAAACTTACTCACCTTTAGGCCTTTGAGAATCCCACCAGAAAGTCTCACTGCTATCCTAAAGTATGCCATTTTACATTACTATCAGCAGAGTGTAAGAATACCAGCTCCTGCACATCAACACATAATATAATCAGTCCTTTAAATTCTAGATTTTTCTAATACAGGTGTGTCGTGGTATCTCATTCTAGTTTTAATTTGCATTTCCCAATAATTACTAATGCTGAGAATCTCTTCATGTGCTTACCTCCCCTCTGTGTATATTTTCAGTCCTGGGGATCAAATCCAGAGCCTCCCATCAGTGAGGCGAGTGTCTACCAGCTGTATGTTGTGTTTAGAAAGGATTGTTCAAGATTTTTGCCCCTTTGTTAACTGGCTCATTTCTTTAAGTTTCAAAGTTCTTTAGATATGTTTATAAAACTCCTTTATCATATATTTGATTGGCAAATATTTTCTACCAGACTGCGGCTTGTTTTATCACTCTGTTTATGTCTTTCAAAGAGAGATTCCCTACTCTTCTGCTCTGTGCTACAAACTCCAGCCTCCTGACTTATCCCCAACTCCATGTCTGCAAAGAGACCTGGGCCTCCTTCCATGCCCGGCATCCCGAAAACTCTCGAGGCAGTAAGTGGGGCAGTTATAGGGCTCGTCTCAGTCATTTCCCTTCTCTCAGATGTCAAGGTCTGTTATGGCTTGTGTGTAGATGTCCCTCCCCAGTCCTAGCTGGGGCTTTTTCAGAGGTGGCAAGACCTAGAGTGTGTGATTTATTCATGGTGCAGTGCTAGAATTAGGGGTGCTAGGATTAAAGGCATGAGTGCTACCTGCTCATACAGGGTACTGGATACATTAGCAGGGAAAGAAAGAGGCTTGCTACTAGTTACTTGCAGTTTGTCACTTGCTTACTTTTGCTGTCTTCTGCCTGCCATGAACTGTCCTGCTTTGGAGCCAGCTGACTATGAACTAAATAAAATCTCCCATAACTGTGAACTAAATGAAACTTTCCTCCTTTAATTTTGGGTGTTGAGTGTTTTGTCTCAGCAACAAGTAACTAAGACTTGGTCCTTCATTAGCTGATTTCCAATGTCATGGAAACCATTGTTTCTTATGTTTTGTCTGCATTTTTTCACTAATTTCAGACCCTGTCATTTCATCTTGAATAGAAGTGGAAATCCCACACCAGAGAAAATTTAACATCCAGAACTGTGAGCCAGATAGAAAGAATTATCCAATAGGCAACAGAAAAAGGAAACAGAACACTAAGATAGAATGGAGTTGGCAAACACAGGCTATGGAGAACAAGAGGAAATTGGTGTTAAATCTTAGAAGAGGAACAGGAGGGAAAAAAGCTTAGAAGATCTGAGGGGAGGCCTCATGGAGCTGAAACTCAAACCTCAGAAGAAAGGAAATAGCCAGGAGGTGCTGGTGTCTCAAAGTGGGCAAAACAAGAATGGTTCTGTCAACCTTGAACGGTCTGCAGCTTCTAACATAAGCTCCCACTGTCAGAGTGAAGTGAGAGTAGGTGAAACTCTGTGAAACGGGAATAAATCAAGAAGTTTTAGGAAGTGAACAAAGAGCAATCCTTTCTTCACCTTTACCAGTGATGGAAAACCTTTTAGAGGTGAATGCCCAAACTGCAACCCAAAACCCATTTATTTATCACAAAGTGCCAACATTGTGATTAAACCTGAATACTGAGGCTTGCTTTAGGGAAAAACAATTCATGCATTAACTTCTTTTGCTTTAAAAGAAAAGCAAATGTCTTAGTTACTTTTCCCATTGTTGAGACAAAACACTCAACACCCAAAATTTTGAAAAGAAAGGTTTATTTGGCTCAGAGTTTGTAGAGGGTTCAGTTCATAGTAAGCTGGCTCGAAGGCAGAGTAATGTGGCAGAGGGGCAGCACGGAGGAGAAAGAGTTCATGGTGGGGAGAAGGCAGAAGGCAACAATCAGCAAACTGCAAGCAGCAGCCCTCTTTCTGTCCCTTATATCTTATCCAAGGTACCCACTCTATAGGTGTGCAGCATTCACACCCAGGATGGGACAGCCTTAATACTAATATTGTACCATAAATCAATTCCAGCATCACATCCTTGATTCTAGCAGTAGATGCTCTAGATCCAGCATCTCCAAAAAGCCCCACCTATGACCACGTGATGCTTGCAGGGAC